ATTCTTAATCCTATTTGACGAAATAAAATTATTTTACGGTCCTCGAGCTATAAAGCGCGAGCCGGAAGAAGCTCGTTAAAATGCTTTTCTTCGAAACGCAGCTGATTCAACCTAAAGATACGTCTCGCGGATCGATCAACTTCTCTATCAACCTTCTCAAAATGCTTCGGTATACTATCGAAACGATACTGACATAAACAGGAAAAAAGTGAAGGCTGATCGAACAACGGCGACGCGATAACTCGAACCGTCTGTCCGACCATTCTGACCACGAATGTATCGAGCGTGGCCGGAACCGATCCCCGATGCTTCGTACGAAAGCGATAAACTGCATTCTTCGTTAAGAAGACGCGAGAGGCGACGCAACATTCCAAGGAGAAGAGACCGGCCACTCACCTTTGGTTGCGGTCTCAGCTTCTGCTTGGACGAACGGCCTCACGGCAGCCAGCATCCTTCGCGCTCGTTCTCTTCTTCGTTATCCGCTCCCACCGCTTTCCCGCTCGTCCTCCCAGCCAAACTGCCAAACAATGTTCCGCTATTACTTTTCAAGTAATTTCAACGAAAGCGATCTTTCTAATTTTCTTAAACTTCCATTTTTTAATTCGCTAGTATATCTCTCTTTGTAAGAGAATAAAAAGATACGGAACACAAGATCGATCGATCGAAGAGGAGGTTCGAGAAAACGTAGGCACGTTTGAGTAGCTGAAATTTACATTTAATCGTGTTTCGCTTTCTTCGAATACGATCAAGCATATCTCGTGGAAACCATGCATTTGCCATAAGCATGCATCGACGTCGAACGTTGCGACAAATATTTATTACTATAAAATTGCTGTGAAAGACGAAAACATCGCAGTATACGATAGCAAGCAATTATTTTATAAAACGGGAAAATTTATATCGTTTCTACGTATAATCGCTGACCGAATAATGGTTTTCTCGGCACGGTTGAGCGGTAACGACGCGACAAGAATTCGAGAGTACGCCCACCACTGAAATGCCTACCTGCCCGAGAGTCGTTCTTTCTCGAGGTTATGTTATGAGTCACGAGGCCGCGCACGCTTTGCCAAGTATCTCGACATTTTGTCACGCGTTGGTCCCCTTTAATCGCCACACGTTCAACGCGCATCGCGCCTTACGCCTTTCGCTCGTTTTCTAGAAATCGATGAACCGATGCGCGTCGATCGATTCGTTTATTTGTCAATGAAAAAATCAACAAAACGTAGGTGGAATAGATCGAACAAAATAGTTATTCTTTATATATACGCGTATGTACTTTTCAATTTTGATTTCTCCAAACGCCAAGTTGTTAACGTTCAACCTTGTCGCATATGTTACACTCACCGTAATTTAAACCGCAAAACGTTGGATGAAACCGTACGATAACGCACGTCCAAAGACAATCGACGCAATTCACTCGGTACTTTATTTCACTACACTACACGCGCGCACAAATGCACTCTTTTGGTAACACAAGCACGAACTTGTTAAATCTTGCAACTCGCTTCTTGCAACTCCCATGGACAACGATTATAACTCCTTCGCTTCTATCGAAGAATTTGCCCTTTAGCACGCGTTTTCATCAACGATATCGACTATTTTCAATATCGTTATCACGAATATCATATACATATGATATGATGTATATTCGGATATTTCGAATATAATAATGCAACGTGTAAAATTGACGGAAAATTCAGTTTATACTTTAAACGATCGAAACTAAACCATTTTTAATCGCATAGGAAATTTCGCGATCGGAGAAAATTAAATTCCATATCTGATACCGACTCGGCTCCGCAAGCGATCGAATCACGAAAAGATCCGCTCTACGTTTATCGATCACTCCATCCGTTAAAAAATTTCACCGACAGCGCTCGTAAATCATCGCTGACATCGGATAAAGAGCGACGCCAATGCGAGACAAGGAAATCGCTTTCCACCGTGGCATCGAGTCTGCAATTACAGTGCAATCCTTAAAGTCTCCTTCAGTCCGCGTACAGCCTCATCCACTCTCAAGGAAACCAGTCGATAGTTCCTCTCGCGCAGAATCGTCATCTTCGAAGTAACCACTTTACCAATCATGATGCACGCGAAACAAGCTTCGCAAACTTCGCGCGAATCACTCCAGGCATACAGTACGTAAATCGTTATCGATAATCGATCGTAACGGACAAAATGCGTCCCTAAGGAATTTCCATATGTAACGCTTCGTTTCAATTAACAGAATGCAGTAATTTTTCGGACTGTAAATCCTTCGGGCAACACCATGACGAATTACCAAACGTGCCACTCGGTAAATCCTTTGACAAGAACATAACTTCTCGATAATCTCACTCACGGTGCGCCGCTCACAAACAAATCCTCGTATATGGTCAGCGTGCAGATTCACAAGACGCGATGAAATTGTGTAATCTTTCGGCTGACAAAGACGAAAGATACTTTTCTACGAAGGCAACGTTCGATCATGGAATCGTAAGATCGTGAGAGACGAAACACAGATTCTTCGAATTTCGTAGACGAGTTCGCTGCAGAGTAGCGGACAGCTTTCAAAGCTGAAGGAACCGCAATGAACCGCGCACGATCGTCGTGAAAGCGACACGACACTGGATGAGAACAGGCAACAGGTTCGTTGGATTGCTCTGAGGAACGTGACGACGATACGAACAGGAGGGGAGGAGGTTAGGTACTGGCCAGGTAAGCCAGTGCCGCCATTGCTCCTGACGCAGCATCCACCGATTTACAGTGGCGTAAGCCTGCCGATATTCCGTCGGGATGAAAATTCCCTGTTGCCTCTGCCGTTTTACGCAATTTACAACATTTCGCTTGCCCCTTGTCCTCCGTCTTCCCTCTTACAGGTATTTCTTACGGTTCCGATCTGTTAATTAATATATCCTGAAGACGAAGTGCCGCGTCTTAATTACACATATATAAGTCATATGTGTTTTACATGCGACGTAATTCGGAATAAGATCACGTAATTGGAAAAGAAAACCATGGAACGAGGGAATTGTTTTGGCACATTATTTTAAAAAGAATATGTATATAGGTATACGAAGAAGCGTAACTTGAAAGTTAATTAACTATGCCATCTTTTTTGTTCCATTGTCTTTTTTACAGTACGTAACTATTTATTTAAATTTCCAACTTACGTCAAGCCAATGGCGTAAATGCAAAAATATCGGTACTAATAGCGCTTTGCCAGACAATTTCAAAACTACTTCGAGCAACTATTCGAAAGAACGCATAAGCATCGGAGAATCGGTATTCGACGGTGATTGGTAGTTAGATGTTCGATTTATGGTATTCAAAGATTGCGAGGCAACAGCTGACGCTATTAGTTATTTTATTTGATTTGCGGATGCTGTGGGATTTTTTTCCCCGACGACTATACGTATTATCGAAGCAGAATTCAGATATTTGTTAAAACGGTAATAGAGTAGTAGATCATAGAAACAAAGAAATGCATAAAATATACTCTTCAAGCGTTGTATACGAACGTTTTTCTGAATAGAGACTGACACAACTCTAAAAAAGTTTCGTACTACGTACTTACACGGAATACAAACTTACCGCATCCGCCTGAACTGAATAAACATATGAGCAGAAAATAGTAACGTTTTATTTTAGCAAGCTGATAAAGTACGTTCATTGGGAAATATAAGTCTAATTGAATGCAGAAACAAAAATTTTGAATTTCGATTCAATTTACTTTGTACTTGAACGTATGGAATATGCAGGAGAAATGACTTGAATATTCTATCGCAAAAGTTTCATAGAAAGTCAATAACGTGAGTCACACGAAAAGGAAGCGTTCTACTAGAATGCTAATCGTAGACACAGACATCGATCACGAACCATGTCGACGAAATTTTGATTACGCCACTGCAGCAACAGGTTGTCACCAATGAGAACCGCCGTGAATGGGCGCGTTCGTCCATTTGATAGCAACACGATCTGCCACTACGAGGAAACAATACCATCTTTTAAACCTACCGATCTCTGTACGTAAATTCTATTATGAATTAATATGTTACATGTACATAAATGTATACAAAACCAGGTTTTTCAAACCAGTTGTAGAACATGGTTAAATAAAATAAATGCACCGATATAAATATTCGATATTTTAATTAATATATCAATGTGAAAATTAACGCGATACGTTACCCGTTTCTTTATTATGCTTTTAGTCTATTTTATTAATTTAATTATAACCTAAGCATTCGAGGCAAACAAAGATGATTGAAAATAAAAAGAATATATTGCTTCGGTAGCGATAATCAAAGTGAATATTTAATTCACTCCTCTTTTTATCACCACATGATTACACAGTTACCAATACTACTGTAAATAATCAAACACGCTACACATAGCGATTAATTTAGCGATGTACAAACAGAAACAGAATCGATTTCAGTATTACTTGGAACTTATTTTACATGTAAATTGTGCAGATACATTTTTTCCCCATTAGTATAAATAGTAACTTATTGATAACTCGATACTTATAATATATAGTAAAATATCATTTATATGAATCTATCAGGGGACAAACAGTTTCCATAATAAATTCTCTGATATCACTGACTTCTCACTGAATTCACCGATTTTAATTACTACTTACAATTTTTTATATTTCATATAATTAGAGTTCACGTTCAAATAAATGAACACTATCCAATATTTCGTTTCAGTAAAGTGTTCGACCAAGTTCTACTATATTCCATGTTATTTGGTACATAATGACAGACCAATGACAAACGACCATTGAGTATGTAAAAATTGTATAAAAAGATCATCGATATAATCAATAAGATGAAAATTAGGGAAAACTACACTTGATGTTATATGAACGAAAATTCTGGCCGATACTCTTATATCAGGGAGGAAATTGCTGACTGCTTATATTATCGAGAAAAATTCTCAAGAAGTAAAAAATCTGAGAACCCCTGTCGGAAAGAATAGCGGGGCGTATGAGCGTACAGTCTGTCTCGGGTCAGTGCTTAACTTGATCGCAAGGTGGTAGCACCGAGTACGTTTTTCTATGCTTCTTCTGTAGGAAGGTTAGTGCCTGATAGTGCAAAATATGAACATTCGTATAATAAAATCTTATTGTGTTTTGGACCAATAAAAAAGAGCAACGCGGTATATTCGCGAAGACAGTACAATGCTACAAATAGATAAGAGGCATCCCTCCCACTGATGCAAAACAGTTGATATTGGCAGCTCTCGTCTCGATTTGGGATAACCTCTTGGTTATAACAACCAACTACAGCTCTTGTCGCATCTTCAGCCGACAATTACCAAAACGTTTCGCAAGGATGGCGTGTCTTTTGCTGAACCAGGAAAATGTGCATATTAAGATACCATCGGCAGACACTGTCGACGGTATCACTTATTACTGCATCGAGGTTAGGATTGCTTCGATCAAATGGACTGTCAAGCACAGGTGAGTGATTCATATCTTTTATTTGCGAGAATTTCCGCAGATTTTCGATGTATACCTCATCTTGTTTCTAGTATTGTATTTTATCAAAAGATTTATCGCACAAAAGAGATAAATATACGTTTACTTATTTAGGAGTTATCATTTAGTCTAAAATGTAATAAAATCTAATTTGTTTTTCGATAGGTTTTTGACGATTACTATATTACACATTTACATTTATTATTGTCGTTTTACGTATTGACAAATTTTGACATTGTACCATAAACAATCAGAATAATTTAATACGTGAAAAGGAATCTTTACTTTTACGTATTTTTTTTTTCGTTTTCTTTGCAGGTACAACGATTTCGCGGAGCTTCACGATAAACTTGTCTCAGAGAATTACGTCAAGAAGGACATATTGCCACCAAAGAAGCTTATCGGAAATAAATGCGAAGCTTTTGTAGAAAAGCGTAGACTGAACTTGGAGATCTATCTGAACGAAGTGTATAACTATTTAAAGAAAGCAATGCCTAGAGAATTAGCTGTATTCCTGGATATGCATATATACGATATATTTTTCCTACTACAAAGTATGGCTTTAGAGTTTTTTACAGAGGGTAATAATTTGTTACAAAAGTCCAAAACTTACAAGTTTAATCTAATACAGGTGACTATACGTAGTTAAACCAACGATACGTATATTATTTATCATGCATTCGATTAAGGTATAATATAGCCGTTCCCTTTCAGTTGTATGCAATCAGCGAGAGATTGAAACAACCCTGTCCACCGATCGAAGTTGTCGACAGGAAATATGACTTCAGTCACGTTTTGGATTTCAATTCTCATCTAACTGGTTTGATCGTCGAAGGGAGCCCGGAACCTTATAGAACCAGCAATATATATTCTTCCGCATTGTCCATCGAACTGTCAAGTTTCAAAAACATAGAAGATCTAACTATCAATCAGTATCCAGTGGATAAAATATACCACATGGGCAACCTTCGAGACACGGTAACATATTTAAAAGTAAACAACACGAAGCTTAGAACTATCGTGGAATTGGCAATGTGCGAGGAAGTGCACAAAAATATTGAAAATGCGAATGATTCTCATGTCTGGTTCAAAGTCACTCACCTAGATCTCAGCGATAATCGAATAGAAGTTATAGACGAAGCGATTAAATTGTTGCCTCAAATAGAATGTTTAACTTTAAATAATAATCTACTATCTGAAATTTCGAACGTCACTCTTTTACCGAGGTTGTCCCAATTGTATCTAGCGTCGAACAATTTCACAACTCTACCAGACGATCTGCATACGAAACTCGGTTATATAGTGTACATCGACTTGTCCCAGAACAAATTAACCTCGTTATCGAGCTTTTCGAAATTGTATTCGTTGGAGGGTTTAGACGTGAGTTGCAATCGTATCGAGAAGATAGAAGAAGTAAAGAATATCGGGCATCTACCTTGTTTGGAGAATCTGAGATTGACCGGAAATCCAGTGTCGACGATAGTCGACTACAGGGTGAAAGTGTTAGAACCGTTTGGCAAAAGGGCTGCAGATATTTGTTTAGACAATGAAAAACCAAATCAGAAAGAACTGGACACCGTTTCCGTTCATCAAGCGTTACGCATTGCCAGAGAAGGAAAATCGCCAACGTTCACCGCATCGGATGCGCCTTTGTTCTCCGCGGAGATTCCAAACATATGTATAGGATCCGGTAAATTATGATTCCATTTGAAACGATAAATTCCCTTAAAGAACACTTTGATATGAATTTTTATAATTGACCCAAATTGTTTCTGAAACACAAAAGAACCTTTTCATGCATTTAGATTTTGATGAAGCGAAAGCTACCAAGGATACCCATATACATTTCCCCCCTGCCCTCCTCCCGTCCACGAAGTGATACTACTGTGGGAATGACAATTTAATTGATTTAGATGAAAAGGTTCCCTTGTAAGTGAAATTAATATTCTATTTAAAACGGCGAACATCAGAACTATAGTTCTTTTATACGCTATTTATTATCGATCTATCGCGTCGGTGCTTTATATTACCTTTTAACATATGACGATAATCTAATCAGTATAATACGTGTACCAAAATAATAATCTATTATTTAATCTATTAAGTCTTAGATCGTAAGCCTTAGATGTCTTTATTCGATCTATCAATCAAATAATACGTGGTAATTAACCTGTTAGGTACGATTAAATTTTGTGCGGATCGGTTTCTCTGTACAGCTGAGTTTGACGCGAATCACGCGTAAACGATACGTACGATACGTAAATTACAACTTTTCTTAAAGATACGATGTATGTACTTTAATAATTTACATTAATAATTGATAATACAATTGAGTGCGATATATTTTATAGCACGATACGACACATAGACCCACGTCACAATTTTAATACTCATAGGGCAATAGTGTTTTTCAAATTGCTCTTCGTTTTCTATTTTAAAGCGACATATTGAGCTCGAAATCTAAAATGACATCCGCGAAAGCCACTATATAGTGGCGCATCGTACCTAAGAGGTTAAAAAGATAAACAGTCTGTCCGTTGGAGGATAACGTGCCACTTATCTTTGTAAAAGTGAAATTTGCAAGATTCTGCTGTGTAAATAATTATTTTTAAATCGTATATTGCGTGTTATCGTCATATATTTTTTATACAAACTCGGAATGCAAAATAGGAAGATCGGATAAATCGATGATTAGTATTTATTTATAATTTATTGTATCGGAGAATTTGGTTTATATCAACGGATATGATTAACGTAGCGATTCTCAAACTCTATTTATACCTTGCGTAATCAGTGTAAGTAATTAGCAATTTAGAAATAAGAAAGATTCATTTTAGGAATCGTTGTTTCTGCGAACAATGAATTATTTTAAACGATATTGGTTATTACGTATTCGTAAATGCGTTATTTAAATTGGCCGTATCATACGCGTATGATACAAACGGCGATACGACTATTTCTGAGAAATTTCCGATTGGATACGATCACCGCAGATTTATTAGCTGTTATTCGTTGTTTAAACTTTTAAGCCGACGTTATTTTGAAAGGTGTAACGTGTTCGATGTAACAATTTTATAGTGGTTTAACACAAACTACCTACATATATGTACATAAGAAGATTAAATATTTTGTTAATAAAGAATTCAAAATCAATAAACTGTGATAATTTGTTAGTAAATTTTTTGTCGATTTGTGATCAACGAATTATATCTTTTTGTTAGAATTTTTACAACTCTATATTACTTCTATTCCGGATGATACAAGGAACTTGGAGAAACTAGTTACTCTCTTTTAAAGTTTATTTTTATTTAAACTTCCACATAGTTCGCATTACCTTTTAAACATCATACGTATCTCGATAGTAGTAAAATATTCATAAATAATAATAATAATAATATTATAATAATAACATAATAATAATAATAATAATAATCATTACAATGCTCAACATAGTTTAAGCATTCTCGTGTTATAGTCTTTTAACATAGTACACCTAAAAACTAACACATTTGTAAGTTATCGTTTTACAGATGATCGAAGCTTTTCTTTCGATAAACTTTGCGATGTACAGTTTTCGAAATTGCAAAAATGTTTTTTTTCCCTAATTCGTGCCTCTCACGAAACACGATCTATCAAGAGTTACAATCTTTCTGTTCTATCTTTCTTCGATCAAAGGCAATGCGCGTTTTCGAGAAAAAGTGTTACGTACTTCGTAAAAGAAAGTGTCATATCAAAGCGTCGAGAAAGTTGGTAGATACCAAAAGGAAGAATAACAACTTATCAAATATCTTTGATTTCCTACACGTTACACGACGCCTACGCGTCGCTTATATCTTAACATTACAATCGTTAAATATATATATATAAATATATATATTTATATATAATATATGTATTCTTCTTTTCGTTGATCGTAACGAACTACGATCTTCGATGCTGATTTTACCGATCGATTCCCAGCTGATTGGAGTTACCATCGATCGATAGCAATCCTATAAACACACGTGTGTGTATATCAAAGCGACAAAAAGCTGATCAAAAAAGACACTGCATATCAAACACCTATACAGTAATTTTTTTTTTTTATACAAAATTAGGCGGTTCGTTTGATGGACGTCGAACGTGCTCGTTACATTCTACAGCCTCCGAATAAAGGATTCGTGTCTCATCGACGTTCGATTATCTCGTTTTCTACGTAGCTCTTTCAAGTTACAGTCGGTCTTGGTCAAATCGGATAGCAACGTTTGAAGAAATTCGCGAAAAGGGGCAAAATTTTGGATACTTTTGGTTATTCGATGTAAAACAGTTAATTAGAACGAAGGTTTTCGTTTTGTTTCCTCGAAGAGAGATACGCTTTCTCGTGCCATATTCGAGACTCGAGTGAAAAACTAAGTTTCAAAATTGCGCGTGTAAGTAAGCGTGTTTCGCTGCGAACCTTGCCTTCCCGCTAGTTCTCGTTTTATACTCGTAATTTATCACACGTTTTGTCTCGAAATTTAAATACCGAATCTCGATCGTTTTTCAATCAGGAAACGAAGAAAAATAAAAGAGGAGGAGGGAAAAACTGAAAAAAGCATAGAATTTATTCGATTTAAGTGGAGTAAACCGTTCGAGTAAACAGCGAGGAAGGAAACCGAAAGTTCACAGCGAAAGAGTGGAGAGAGAAAAAAAAACGGAGAAAAAGCAAAAGAAGAGGGGATAAAAGGGAAGAATGGAAGAGAGAAACGGACTTACGGGAATCGATGGAAAGGGCAGGAAGGGAGCGATCTGACGGACACACGAATCATGGAATTTCGAAGGGAGTTTTAAGAACCGTTTCGTCGTGTATTCGTCCGGTCGATCGAGCGTCTACTGGTGCGCGATCGGGATAAGCTTCTCGCCTGTGCCGATCGCCGGAAGCGGAGCCTCGACGGTGAGCACGCCGTCCTTGCTCAGCGAAGACTTGATACTCTCGGGGTTGGTTCCCTTAGGCAGTAGGAATTCACGGTTGTACTCCCTGTACACCGATTTGCTCTCCGTCTTCTCCTCGTGTTTCGCGTGGACCTGGACACACGAAAATGAAAATTAGGCGATTTAAAAAGTAACAATTTTCTCGCACGATACGCGCTCCTTGTATTCTACCGTCTTAGTTTCTTTCTTAGTAGTTTCTTTTTCTTCTCTTCCCTTAGGGACGAAAAATATTTTAGTACAAGCGAATCGACCGACATTCGTTTTCCCGGGAAATCCATCGATTTCGTAGCGCGCATAAGCCAAGAGAAGGCCAAGAATTCAGGTCGTCGGTTCGATTAAGCGCGTTCGTATTAATAAATCAGCTAGGACAGACCCATTTCTGCGATCACGCGAGCTGCATGCTAAAAACGACCGACATTGCTCCGCTCGTTGGTCAACGGATGCGATAACACAGAACGCACGAGGGTAGTTTTAGCAACGTATTTTATTCGGACGCTGTTATCTGTTCAGAATGCAAAGGGTTAAAAGCGAGTAACGTTGACGCATACTAACTAACTAACCAACTAACTTTCGATATTTATCTCGTCTACCATATAGTTTAGCACATATTGTCTACCGTATAGCGGTGAAACGTGCTCGCTTTTCAAAATCGATCGTATCTCGTCTTACTAGGTACGCAGCACGGCAGAAATTTTCAACTTTGTCTTCTCTCTGTCGTATAATGCGAAAATATCAAATCCGTAAACGTTATTTTCGAAGCTCGTAGGCAAACAATTGCCCGTTGAATAATTCAGAGCGTTCGTGGCATGACGTGTTCGGAAGCGGAAAGGGCGAGCTTCCCTCTTGAAGCTATCGAGGGTAAAAAAGACAGAGGTTGCGTGTCTCGTAATACGGGCGCCTGGAGAAAGTAGGTTATGGAAGGGGACGACGATAAAGTCGGAATACATGGACGTTTCGCGACTCTGATTGGCCGGCGACCACTACCGGTCGAGCCTCGTGATAAAACGAAGGTGCCGTGCAAAGGGTGGAAAAAGGAAGGAATCGAGGGTAAAATAATAAGCGGATGGGAATGGCGGCCGAAG